GAGAGAGAGAGAGAGCTCATTCAGAAGGCGGTCGGATGTGGAAGGATTGCGGAGGTGTCATGGAAGAAGGGAAGCCCTAAGAGTAGCAGGGAGCGGACGTAAACAATCCACTTGGGTCACGAGAGGAGAATACGAAACTATGTAATGATAGGGGCTTGTGAAGTTTCCCACTATGTGAATTTAACATCGAATGACCACTAACGTAACTGAAAAGGGACTGGATATAAACCAATAATGACCTGATGCTGGCGTTTGTCCTGGTTTATTTTAAACTCTAAAAAGCTAGGAAAGATTGACACAGATTTGACCAGTCATAGTTACTACATATTCTATATCCGAATTAGCTAGTCCGATGGCTATGAATTATGTAAAATACAGCACTGTATGTTATCCTTTAGGACTGTTTTGGAGTATGTTTGCAATAAATGACTATTTTCACTAAAAAAATATTACATTTGTAAATTACGAATTCCTTATTTAGTCTTTAAAAAGGCTAGAAAAGCAACATTGTCCCTCTCATAACACGGCAGGTTCCAAGATGAATTGTTTTAAGTTATTGAATCTGTGCATCCAGCATTACAAGACCCCAACCAAAATAGAAATAATGTCAAATAGGAATAGAAAGGAAACAAATAGTTCTATTTAAGAAGCTTGGATCATTAATTTGTCATTTTAGGATTAGAAATAACAAAATAAATATGTCTTGTTTGTAGTTTTTGATGTAAATACTGTCTGTGCTGGTAGTTTACAGCTTAAAACCCTTTCCTATGGTGAGCAGATGCACAAAGTTTGACGTCATGGCCCCTTAAGTAACCACCTGCTTGCCAGAAGTGAACGTTACATAAGCCAAGAAATGCAAGAGGAGACAAAGGTGAGAGACAGGAAGGGTGAGGGAGGTTAGAGGGAAAGGACTGATGGGGATCTAAAGAGAGAATCCTCTTGAATAAGTCATAAGGCTTGCCCGCCTCTTGTATTTTTCATGAGGGAGATCAAGTTTTTGAACACTTGCATGCCAGCGCCAAGAAGACTGGAGACGCCTCGGGGAGTCTCACAGCGCACTCCGCAGTCAACGAGGCCATCAAATGGTCAGGAGGTGTCATGTCATATTTCAGCTACACCACGTCTCATCAAATACTTACAGTACTGCCAGAGAAGGTAGAAAACAGTTGGACTTATGGTCCCTTAATAAAGAGGGCTCCTTTATGGGCTGGACCATTTGGAAAAAATAAGTTATTGCAATTATTTTAACGGATATGATGGCGATACGATTTGAAACATTGAAGGGAATTATCCTTTCTTTAAACACATTATCACTTAAAAGATATATTGAAATGGTCACGGTTTGCTTTTTTTTTCGAGGCGATTTGTAAAGGATACAAGGATACAAGGATATTCTTATTAAGAGTGTAGGATAGTGTTTGTAATCCGCACCAGGACACTTTACTTTCAAAGCAAAAACTGCACTAACTTCGATTTTGATGTTGCCCTAGTGCATATTGCAATTACTATAACATGTTGACTTATTGTGCAGCCCTAAATGCAATGCAATATTACGTGGCAACGCATAGCTCTGCCCAATCGAATACTTCCAAGTGCACATTGCTGAACTGCAGAATATTATGTATAACAGTGTGTAATGTATTCAAGACAAAGGACATCTTGAATTACTAGAGTTGTAAAAACTCTTAGGTCCCCTGGCCGGTCCAGCTGGACATGCTGGATTGTTTTTCACCTTCTTAATACTTAGGGTTGGGTTTATACAAGGCAGGGTTCATACACTTTTTCACCAATGATTTTCAATGACTTCTCCAGGACCTTTACCTAATTTCCCATGACTCTTTCTCAGCGGTACCACTGAAAATTGTGTATTTTAACATGCAACAGGAAAATAAGGTCTGCTATGAAACATGTTGTGCCGATCTAAAACAAATCCAATAGGCTTACTAGCTTCTACAGGCTAAAGCAACTCAAATCTCTCACCAGCAAAACACCTCGACAGTTAAATGCCATTTGATGTTTCATCACTGTACGATACAGTATTTATTATCATTATAGTATTACTATTTCGGCGATTAGCTAAAATATAAATTATATTTGATGCATTTCCATCACTTTTCCAAAACTTTGGGAAAAATATTGTTTTCCATAACTTTTCCAGGGCCTGGCATTTTTATTTTTAATTTCCATGACTTTTCCAGGTTTTCAATGACCGTAAGAAAACTGGAAGCAACACATCCACACCTCACATCATCTTACAAACATATATTTTGGGACCCACATTGTAGTTGTGCTAGCCGGTATGCAAAATCAATACGTTTATGAAGTTGTGGGAACCTTCAAAGTTGGATATTAAATCTCAGCGGGTCCTCTCACATTCAATTTACTTCTTATAAATATATTTGTTCAGGCCACTGACGCCTTTTAGGAAGTGACAGAGTTGAAACGGGTAAACACTGGTGAATGGATATATGTATGCCTGCAGGTTAATGTAAGTCAATGTGAGTCTAGCAGGATATATTATGAATGAATGTGTTTGATAAGGCTTTGTGTTGAGTTTGCACAAGGGTGTTTGCCTGAGTGTATACAGGGTGTGTGTGTGTGTGTGTGTGTGTGTGTGTGTGTGTGTGTGTGTGTGTGTGTGTGTGTGTGTTATGCAGCCTCTGGGAGTCCTTGTCCTGGTGGAAAGTGAACCCCCCCGGAGTGTTACTATCTTTAGCTCATTTCCGTCATGTCTTGTCACTCATGTTCTCCTCTACAGCACTTAAATCTGGTATCTAAACCTCTGGGCCATCCAATATCCTGTACTTCCGCTGCACAGGAACACACACACACACACACACACACACACACACACACACACACACACACACACACACACACACACACACACACACACACACACACACACACACACACACACACACACACACACACACACACACTAAAAGTGACTGTAGAGCACAGTCAACTAACTACACACATCATGCACACTTAATGGAATGGAAGGACAAAAAACAACAAAAGAAACACACACATACACACACATACACACACACACACACACACACACACACACACACACACACACACGTCAGTGACAGGAGGCGTGTCAGTAGAGGACACCTTGTCTGGTCAAACTGGCGTCACAGCTAACGTCTGCAGGGACACGAGAGACGGTATAAGTAACTAAATCTAACCTTCTGTTATCGAATCACCTCTTAAACACAAACATTCACACTGCTCCAGCTTTACCAGCGGTATTATGACAACCTTCAACGTCAGCACTATACAGTTGATTAACCAATTGGAGGACTTACAAACGTACTTACGCTAGCACCCAAAAACCGTATATTCCAACAATTGTGATGGTTTTTTATCAAAGAGGCCCTTTTATGCGTTTTGGGGTTTTCCCTTTCCTCTCGTGTGTTATTTAGGTTTGTGTGCATGTAAATGGTCTGCAAAGGCTAAAACCTTTGTGTTTACTTCTGTAACATAATGACATCGATAGGTAAAACAAACATAAGAAGCACATAATACAAATATGAACCCGGAAATTAGCACCTCTTAAAATGTGCAATAGAAACACATGTTGGTAAGGAAACATTTAGACCCTGTTCTTCATATTTAAATATTTTAAATTCATAAAAGAATAATTGGATATATGCATGAAGGCTGAAGGAGAACATGTTGTTGTTGTTGTTGTTGTTGTTGTTGTTGTTGTTAAAAAGGCACAATGCAACATGAACACCTTCAACTAAAAATATTGTTACATAACTTTAGGTTACAAAAATAAAATAAAAATTAAGTCCCCCAGTTACTAACTATTCAATCACATTCAGCTAATTTACCAAATGTTCACCTCTGGGATGAACAAAGTATCTTGATTTTGATTCTAACTTTAATAAAATAGATGTGTAACTGTAACATGACCGTAGCGTTGACTCTAAACTGACTTCAAAAACTGAAATAACATAAACTGATGTGCTTCAAACCAACTTCAAAGACCCCTTCTTGTTACAATTAACTCCTATTATGTATGAACTAACCTATGCGGACATTTCAGTGCACCCTGCACACATACATTATAAAACCCTGCTGTCTTCACTGGCCTCATTTCACGCTTGCCATTCTTCATGCATTTCACAGCTGACTTGATATCTGTTCAGTGGAATGGCTTTGACACTCTCCATGTCGTCGCCCACTCTCCGCTGCCACTCAACCGGAGGAGAGACTCGAGCTGTCCGGGGACATTTAAGAGACGCCCAGTCCCACGATTCAACATGGAACACCTACACTACCACACAGAACAAATACTCCAATATATCATTGTTTTCTAATGGGCACAAGAAACACATTTTGGTTTTGGCTCGGATCAATTATATTTCATTTAGTCATTTGTCACTTTCCTATTGTACTTACATTTTGTATATTTTTTGTAAAAATGTTCTCTCATTTTAGATGTTTAAAATAGTTTATAAACATTTTTTTATAGTAGTCCTCCCTTTATACAACTTTATTGCTCAACCTCTTAGAGATGTCTCGCCCCTTAGCCTATCACGTACAATGTGTTGGAGCACTAGCCAATAGAAGCGCGAGGGTTACAAAGTGATGTCACTACTTCCCGGAAGTAAACAAAGGAGTCCAATGGAGGCGTTTCAGGCAGGGGGAGAATTTTAGCCTTTGCAGACTGTAGGAGCCAATTAACTGTGGGTGTAAAGGTAGGAACCTATGTTTGTTGGTGAGAGGTTCCACCGGAAGGCCCAGACAGCTTTTGACCACACACGGAGAACACACACACACGGAGAACACACACACACCGATGGCACACGGAGAACACACACAAGGAGCACACACAGGAGCACACACGGAACACACACACACACAGGATTACAAACAAGCAAAAGGTATTGTGTAAACCGTAATATCGTGTGGTGAATGATGGGAAGAAACCAGTAAAAAGGGAAATAAATGGACTATTTCGAACAGGAAGCTTTGTTTCTGACTTTTATTCGGCAGCAGACAAGGTGTGCATCAATTACAAACAAAGCGGATCATCAGAGGCCTAAAGCGTTGGCTTAGCCTCTACAACATCTATGGACCGAATGATTCATCATCAGAAAAATAATCTGTAGATGAATGATCAGGACTGAAAACAACAGTGGCTCTGCAGCCCTAGTTTGAATGTTGGTGCCCCTCCACCCAGTTTTCTGAGGCCTCTCAATGGATTCTTCTGTTTCTCTGTCTCAAGGTTTTTCTCACAACCAGCGCCTAGTGTTCTGGTCTACAAAACAAATACAAATGTCTGAAATCTGTGTTGAGAATCCAATAGACCTCCTCGGAGTCTGAAGTCACTTCAGAACACTGGAAAAAGAGGACGTACATTTCTCCAATGTAGAAAGACTAATTAGTCTGAGAGCCAATTGGGTCACCAGTTTGCTCTAGATTTCAAAGTTTTGCTATATGTGTTTATTAGTGTGTGTGAGGTGGGCTGGACTTCACCAACCTGTGCTCTTCTTCTTGCGCTCTGCTTCTCTCTTGTCCTTTTTAGAAGTTGATGTGCTCTCTGTCAGCATGGACGCTTGCTTCAGATCGTCTTCAGTTATCAGGAACACTGGATTGTTCTTTACTTCCTGGGAGACACATGAAGAAACAGCACACACTGTACTTTCAAAGTCTTTTTTTCTTATGGTTGAACTCATGCAGATGTGACGGAGGACGGCTGTACCTTCTGAGCTTTCTGCTGCATGGCTTCATCAAACAGAGAGAGGCAGTTGCTGATGAACTTCTCACTGACCACCACCGTGTCTCCCAGCACTCTGGCAGAGGACTGGACATTAGTGCTCCTCATCGCCTCGGCGATCAGCATCCCCATGTCCTCCACTGACAGGCAGCTGGGCAAAATGGGCTGAAAGAGCCAGAGTGAGAGCAAGGATTAAAACTGAAGAAATGCATATATTTACCATGAATAGGGGCTCAGTTAGAGACAGCTGTGTAGCACCTGTATGTCAGTCCATGTGGCTGAGTTGACGGCCTCCTCCACAGATGCCTCCACCTGGTCCACCAGAGCCTGCCCCACGCAGGCCGCCCTGAGGAACAGCAGCTTGCTGGACTTGAAGCGCTTCTTGACAAAGCTGCTGGGCTCAGGGATCCCCAGCCGGACCAGAGCATCAAACTCTGCAGGAGGAGGAGTGCACTTAGACTACACACACACACACAATTATAGTAATACAACCTCCAAAATACATCACTCGCCTCCCTGAGATTTAAAAATGGTACATGTAACATTATGGAAATAACATTTCTAAAGAACAACTAGACCTATGTTATATATATATATACACTTACAAAAATAAGGAATCGGATTACCATTTTTGGAAGATATGTTCCAAAAATATGCTGATAGTAATAATAATAATAATTTCAAAACCCATACCCAAATATCCGTTCTGCTTGAGGAAAGCGTCCACCCAGGCGTTCTGAGTTTTGGAGTAGATATCAGGGATGTACACAGCCTTGTCCTGCCGGCCTCCCACCACGCTGCCCTTCAGACGGCCGGTGTTCACCAGCTCCTCCAGGACCGCTGGCAACAACAGAGCCATCACAGAATCAGACACTGAGGCACACTACCATCATAAAACACAGAACCATCAAACTCTCTGCTTACAGTACAGAAGATGTTCCTGAAAGCCAAAAGCTGCGATCATGTTGCTGACAGGTGTCGGCCTGCAGGACACAGAAACAGAAAAAAAACAGAGTCAATCAAAACATTTTCTTCTGTCCACCTTCGTAAGTCATAAATTCTGCTCCGCTAAGATATGACTATAAAGAAGTTGTTCATTAACGTGGTCATATTTAAAAAAAATTTTGGAACTTTTTATTTATTTTTCATACATAACATCAATAGAACATACATGGAGATGCTTACATAACTGCAGCTGTTGTACACCAGGATTAATCATACATACCCTCCTTGGGCACCAAAAGGACATACAGTTTCTTAATGTTATCAATTTCTATATTGTGCAAACATTATCAACATATTACAGACATTATCACTCCCCCTCATCGGAAACATGATCGCACAATACCTGAACCATTATGATAGTAAGAGCCAGTGCTTTACCATCAGGATGAAACAACCTATATGTGCAGTGAATAAAATAAATGAAAAATAAATAAATAAAGATAAATAAGTAAAGAGGCCCTACTAGAGATCTGGTTTTAATGGGGACTATTTTTCTTCGAATTTGTCAGTTTTCAGCTGTAGTCTTGCTGTCATTTTTCTCCATTAAATAAACATTTTTTTACCCTGTTTTCTCCAGTGGACTATATTGGGGGGGCTGCGGGTTCAGCCACGAGTACCGTTATCATTTTTTTCGCAATTAGAAGAAGAATTCTTAGTAAGAAAGATAC